AGGGAGCCCGATGCGGGGCTCGATCCCAGGACCCTGGGATCATGACCTGAGCCGAAGGCAGACGCTTAACCATCTGAGCCACCCAGGCGCCCCTAAACTGGAATATCTTATGTGACTATGACTATAACAGGCTCTCTCAAGCCCGTCAGCTACCAGTGGCTTTCAGGGACATCTGTCAGTCCTTTGTGGCCTTTATTTATGCTTGCCTTATTTTGTTTTTCATCTATGTCTGGGCTGTTCTTGCCATCCTACCCTGAACTTCGTTTCCTCCTTCTTCTAGGCACTGAAATCTTATCTCACAATAGAGAGAGAAAAAAGTCACCCTGAGCATCAACTCGTACTAAAATACATTGCCAGTCTTAATGATGTAATTTTATTTTTCAAGAGTCCATGCCCTCATCTGGAATTCTGTATGAATTTGTATGGCCAAATAGATATTAAACTTCATGAGTTCAGTGACCTTATCTTTTTGGTAGATGTTGGTATGGCATATCTTTTTCCATCCTTTTATTTTTGGTCTTTTTGTGTACTGATATTTAAAGTGTGTTTCTTATTAGCAGCATATAGTTTTTATAAAAAATCCAGTCTGATAATCTTTTTAATTGGAGTGTTAGTCTAATTATATTTAATGTAATTCTTGATATATGTATATGGGTTATGGCTTTATCTTTTTGCTTTATATTTGACTCACTTATTTGCTATTTCTCTTTTTTCTTGCCTTCTTTCGAATTAATCAGATATGCTTTATTATCCCACTTTGAGCTTCCTTGTTATAACATTTTTTTTTACTCTCCTTTTAGTGGTTATCCTACATATTTCAGTTTGCATTCTTGATTTTTTAGTCTAATACAAGTTACTATTTTTGCCATTTCCCTGATAATGCTAGAACCTTAGAACACTTTAATTTCATTTATACCCTCCCACCTTTTAGATTAGTGTTGTCACATATTTTAATTCTATAGATATTTTAAGCCCCCCTGTGGCATTGTTATTACTGTTTTATACAGTTAGTACTCATTTGTATTTACTCACATATTTTACCTTTTACAGTGTTTTTCATTTCTTTCTTTGTATCTGGGATTTTCTGTCTGCCTGAAGAGGTCTCTTTAGTACTTCTGTGCTGATAATGAATTCTCTCAATTTTTTGCATCTGAAAATGTCTTTATTTTGCCTTCATTTTTGAAGGATATATTCTTTGAATAGAGAATTCTTGGTTGGTAGATCTTGTCTTGATGCACTCTAATATGTCACTCCATCCTCTTTAGACTTTCGTTGTTTCTTTTGGAAACTCAGCTTTTTGTCTTGTTGCTCCTTGAGAGGTCAAGGGTCTTTGTATCTCTGCTTCTGATTTTCTTTATTATGTACTCTGTGCCTGCCAGACACTGTACTGTTGATGGGGATAAAAATATAACTAAAACATGTTCCCTTCCCTTCAGAAGCTTATGTTCTAGTAGAGGAGAAAATTACGTCAACATGATATAAACTGTAGTGAGATATGTGTGTATTATAAAAACAGTTGTATGGGAAGGGAGAATGACTAATTCTTTACAGGATAAGCAGGGAATTTCAAGCTGTGAAAGAGTTCACTTGGTGGAAAAAGGCACAAAAGGCAACCACATGTGCCTAATGGCTGCTTACTTCAAGAATCCTCTGTGATTTCACATCTGCCAGTGCCACACCCACCTTTTCCCATGAAACTCTTGAACCATTTCATTCTTCTGATTTTCACTCCTCTGTCTTCCTTTTTGGCTTCTCTTAGCCTACCTCATCCTAAACATGGGTACCCCCCCTTAATTCAGGCCTGGACCTCCGCTCCCTCTCCCTACACTATTCCTTGACTCTATTTACATCTTCTCATCCTAGATCAGCTCATTTTCATTCCTTCCTGATCCTTTTTAAACTTAGATCTGCCTCCTGTGTTCCAACTTGAGTTTCAACCTGAATTTAGAAGTTGTCCTTGACAACTTCCTGTCCTGTCACCCATGGGCCATTAGCAACCAACTCTTGTGAATTCTTAATGAATCTCAAATCTGTTTTTTCCAGCTCTGCCATCCACTTAGCCCAGTATTTTATCATTATGTCATATTCAGGCTACCTGAAACAATATCCTTCCTTCCAGTTCATCCTGCAGATCATGGGATCTGAGGTCCCATACATTTTTATTCTGATCTTAGTCTTACTGTCTGCCATTCCATCTCAGGTTCTGTACTTAAACTAGTTGGCCAACTTGTTTCCCAAACATCTTACTCACATCCATTTGGCATCTCTAGAAATTCTGTGTACACACACACACACACACACACGCACACTCACACACTCACACACTCTCAGAGCAGCCAGGAAATAGTACATTTGTTGGCCAATGAAGATTTTTTTCTAATCTAAGTGACTCCTTTTCTCTAAGCTCTTGTAGCATTGATTTACTACATTATTTCATTATAGTTTCATGTATGATACTTGCTGCTTAACCAAACTGATAGCATTTTGAACACGTGGATTGTCCGTCTCTGATTGTTAGCCTTGGATTGTCATACTCTGACTTGTATCCTTTTCTGTGAGAGTATCTTGCACATAGTTGTAAATCAAATGATTATTAGTTGATCATTCAAAAAGCTCTTCCTTCATCCAAATACTAGCATTTATGTTTTTGTTTTGAAATGCATATATTGAGGTTGGATGCCTTTTATTTGACATATTCTGTTATTCATGAGAAAAATGTCAGTTTTCTAAATGCAGTTTTTAACCTGATAATATAATACAATACACGTGTTATTGGAGAGAGACAGAAGTAAACATTTCTATGGATTTTCCTCTAGGTTGACACCGTCAGAATTGTTCACATTCATTCTGTCATCATCTTGCGACGTTCTGATAAGAGGAAGGATCGAGTGGAAATTTCTCCAGAGCAGCTGTCTGCGGCCTCAACAGAGGCAGAGATATCCTTACTGGTCAATAAGAAGCTTTTATGTGCTCTGGGACTTCCAGGCCAGGCTTCTCTGTTTGCTGCCTTAGCCTGCTTGAGGAGATTTCACAGGTTTTCTTCCTGGTGACTCTTTCCCAGTTTTCCTATTTACCCATCAGATCCAATTGTTTGGTTAATCAGAATTTCTTTCCATTTTTCCTTTTGAGTGGCTTTTATTGGAAAAGTTAGAAATTTCTAACATTCCTGCTCTTAAATGCCAAAAGATCCCAGGGTCAAATCCTGTGACAATGAACTCTACGGGGGAGTTCCCTCTTCCTCCCTTTCATTCCCTCACTACCCCTCTCCAGTCCTCTGCCCCCCTCCAAGTTTTCCTAATATGATTTCATTTCTAGGGCCTTGATGATCTTGGTCTCTATTCTTTGGAGAGATTCTCTTTGGAGGCTGCCTCTCAAAAAAAAAAAATGCATTGCTGAAAACTGAATGCAATATTCCATGTTAAATATAACCAAAAAAGGGTCAAATGGGACATTTGCTTCCTATGATCGGGACTCCATACCTCAGCTATAGCAGGTTAAATTTGCATCAATGGCTTTTAGTAATTCATTGTTTTTTTGATTAAGTTTATCTTGTTGTCAATTAAAAAGTAACTTTTAAAAATAGGCAGTTCACATGCATAGTACAAACTTTAAAAGGTACAAAAACATGTACAAAGTAAGTATTTTCTCTCCAACCTCTAAGCCCCAGTTCCCTCATGGTCTGTCCCTGGACGTAACCAGGGTTATCAGGTTTTCATGTGTCCTTACAGGTGAATTCTGAGCATACAGAAACATACACAGATATTTTCTATTAAAAAAAAACTAATGTATGATAGCTTATGACTTTGCTTAACAGTGTATCTGGACTATTGTTCACATCAGTACACAGAGTTACCTCATTCTGTTGACTGCAGAAAATAGCCCTTGATGACTATTCTGTCCTCATGCGGATGTTTAGGTTATTTGTAATCTTTTACTGTGCTGCCATGTAACCTTGTACATTACTCGCATTTCACAAATGTGTGCATGTATCTGTACAATCTAGTCCTAGAGCTGCAACTGCTGGAGCAAAGGTTATGTGTACTTGTAGCTGTAGCTGTCTAACCAGTTTACTCTGGCAGTATATGCGAGAGTGCTTGTTTCCCTACACCTTCATAAACACTGTGAGTTATCCCAGTTTTTTGTTTTTGTGCTACCAGGCCAGGGTATATCAAAGCTCTTGATTGATGCCAATCTGATTGGCAAAAAATTTCATCTTATTTCTTGCAATTTTAATTAGCATTTTTCTACTTATGAGTAAATGTGATCAGCTTTTAATTTTTAAGAATCATTTATTTTTCTCAAAATTATCTGGTTATTTCCTTTGCCCATCTTTCTGTTGTTTTGGAAATCTTCTTAACTTATAGGCACTCTGTGTTAAGGAAATTAGCCCTTTGTGATAAGGATAATGATTTTTCTCAGCTTATTCATGGTGTGTGTGCATTTCTCCAATCAAATTGTTTTTGCATTTTTATATAATCACATGTATCAATCTCTTACAGCATGTACCTTTTCCATCTCTTTTAAAAACTCTATTTTGAAATAATTATAGATGCCTGGGAAGTTACAAAAATAGTATCGAAAGTCCCTGTACCCTTGACCCAGTTTCCCCCAAATGCTACAGCTCAAATAATTGACAATACAATATGGAAACCAGAAAACTGACACTGATACAATGTGTGTCATCCTGTTGCCATTTTGTCCCATGTGCAAATATATGTAACCACCAGAGTAGTCAAGATTGCAAAATTATTCCATCACCATGAAGGTCTAATTTATGCTCCCCCTGTATAAATCACACCCACTCCCTCAAGCTCCCGCTCCAACCCCTGGCAACCTCTAATCTATTCTCTGTCTCCCGGAATATAATTGTATAAAAGGTGTTTATTATTGTGATTATATATTATAACTTCAAAATGAAACTAGTCCATTCCCAAAATGGGGGGATGGCTGGAAACACTGTTGCATGTTACTGCACTTTGACATTACAATGACTATCTGTTAAGCATTTACTAAACATCTTGCATGGGTTACCTCATTTACTCTTCACTGCTGTTGGAAGCGGAATTTCCCCAGCCTGCAAGCTGAAGAAATGGGTTTAGAGAAGTTAAGTCAGTTTTGGCATTTAAAAAATTATTTAAAAAGTATTCTTTCTCAGGATTTGCTGTATAGAAAGGATTATTGTGTTTTAATGTAAGTAATTTGCAGGAAAACAAATCAGCATTTTATAAGATACCAGCAGAAGTCCCAATGAGCAGCAACAGAAGGGGACCGCTTCTTATCCTTAAGTTGAATTCTTATCTCAACTTAGAGCCTCAGATAGAGTTATGGGAAATTTTTGTTTCTAGAACAAAGGAGGAAAATATTCTTTGGTGGTATATTTCTAGACACATGGGGAGACCAAAGTGGGGGGTCTTTGTTCATTTGGTCTCTGAAACCATCCCAATTGCTATTGTTGACACTGGCAGGCTGCCAGAGAGAAATCAAACAAATTTTTTAAATCTTGTGTTTCTTTTTCAAAACCGAGTAGGATGGAGCTAGAGAGAGGCTAGAAGATTACTCAAGTTAATAATGTGAGTGAATTCCAAAGATTTAGATAAGCTTCTTTTCAGATAGCACAGTGTTAAGTATTTAAGTGCTCAAACATTAGCTAAATTGGATTAAGAGAATATAACTATATATGATAATGCAAGCCAGATGGATTCTATTTTTATATTTTAATGAATTAATTAATTTTTAAAGTAATCTCTACACTCAGCCTGGGGCTTGAACTCACAACCCTGAGATCAAGAGTTGCATGCTCTACTGACTGAACCAGCCAGGTGCCCCAAATTGATTCTATTTTTAAAAAGAAATACCTTTGGCTTTAAATGGGAGGTCTGGGAAATTCTGGGGATTGACCTTATTTCATTCTTTTGTTGACATTAAATTATAATAGGTTTATTTTAAACCTCAGGATGCTTTCTGAGCCCTTATTAGTATCACAAATTTTGTTCCCACAAGTTGAAAACACCTTGACAGACACACAGGTTGGCTGAACTAACAGGTCGCCCCATGAGAGTTGTGGGCTGGTATCATTCCCATCCTCATATAACTGTTTGGCCCTCACATGTTGGTAAGTATTATAGGCTTGTAATATTTGTTGTTTTTATTTATTTGTTTTTTAAAGATTTTATTTGAGAGAGAGAGAGAGAATGAGCAGTGGGGAGGGGCAGAGGGAGAGGGAGAGGGAGAAGCAGACTCCTGGCTGAGCAGGGAGCCTGATGCGGGGCTCAATTCCAGAACCTTGAGATCATGACCTGAGCTGAGGGCAGACACTTAACTGCCTGAGCTACCCAGGCGCCCCATGTTTGTTGTTTTTAGAAATCAGTATCATCTTTCTCTGTTACATGAACGATGGTTATTTTAAATGATACTTTAATTATCCTTAAACAGGTGCCCGTATTTTTATTTTGCTATGTTTTAAAAGTAATGATTTATGTCATACTGTTTTTAATAGAGAAAATTTTAGCACTCCATTTTGACTGTATTCAGGATACCATTACTAACTAAAGCCTGACAATTGGCTGATATAAAAAAAATTAAATTGTAACTGAAAATTGCTGACTGCTGAATACCAGTGGCCAGTACACTCCCATTCGGAAGACTTAAAGGTGTGAGGGCTGAAATTTACAAAATTGAGGTTTAACACATATTCCATCCAGCTGTTGAGGCTCTCAACCTACTTCCTCACCCCACTAATCAGTATAATGTAACAAAATTGTTTTCTCTTTTTTTATCTTTACTGGTTTTCCTGAATCATGGTCATTTTTTTGTTGTTGTTTGTACCTGACTCTTGAAAGAAGTAGAATAACTTTGCTTGGTGAACATGACATTCTTGGAGGAAAAACTAACATTTCCTCTCAGGGGCAAAAGATCCAAGCTGCATATAACCATTTGCTAATGGTTTATGAATGTTTCCCCCCTAATCCTCATGGTAACCTGTGAGTGAGAGAGCCTCCCAGCAGTGTACTGAGGAGTAAACCAAGGCTTACATCAGTTAAGTGCCCTTTCCAATGTGGTGTTCTCTTTCTAGTCATAGGGGCTTGAGATGATCGTAAGTTCTATATTCATCTACACCACGGTATGAATGCCAAAAAAATCAATAGCAGTGCAGTCTCAGACTATAATAATAGATGAGTGGTCATCTGTATCTAGAGTAATGGGTGGGCAGGGATACTTCTCAGAATCACCTGGGAGAGCTTTTATAAAATGTACCTGTCTTAAACTCATCTTTCCCAGCCTGGACCTGCTATAAAAACCTCTGGGAGTAGGTCCTAGGTGGATATATTATGAAAAGACTCCTCAAAGAATTCTGGTGCATAGTCCCAGTTAAGTACTGATATAGAGTAAGGGAGATAATAGACTTGCTCTATTTCTTGCTGACAGAAATTTACCTGACCTGCTGTTAACATAGAGTGACATGCCTAAGATAGCTTGTATTAACAAAAAATATATTTCAGTTGGAAAAGAAAAAAGGTTAAAGCTGGAACTTGCAATAAAAATAAGGTGTTTTTAAACCTGTTTCAGACTTAAAGTTGATAAAATAGTACAAAGAATTCCTGATACTCTCCCCCCAGATTCGCCACATTTTCTTCTGTTCTATCTACGTGTGTGTGTGTGTGTGTGTGTGTGTTTTCTGAAGTATTTCAGAGTAAGTCACAGCCAGTATTCACCTTAACTCCTGAATAGTGTTTGGTATGGATTTCCTAAACATGACGATACTCTCTTACATAATCACAGTGTATTTATGAAAACAGAAATTAACATTGAAATAATAGCTCATCTCCAAATGGCTGTTTAAGAATTGAGTGAAACAGGTGCCCTCTGTTAGCAAGTCTTGGGAAAAAAATGAGCAATGATTTAAAGTATGTACAGTAATTATGTTTAATAGGAACGACAAGTGAGAAGGAGTAAAAAATGATTATTCAACAAATTTATAAGATAACCTGGATGCAACAATGTAGTCACCGTTTCTGCTGGTTTGAGACCTTATGATTTTGTGAGGAAGAAAAACAGTTAAAGTACTAAAGGGGAAATAAAGAGTAACAGCAATAAGGAAGAAACAAAGAACATTTGCACCAGTGAGTTGAAACAGCAAATGTAAAAATAAAAGCCTTAGGACTAAAAAATAAATACAAGAATAAAATGTCATTAAAGACAAGCTTTATAGAGAGGGAGACAAACCGTAAGAGACTCTTAATCTTAGGAAACAAACTGAGGATTGCTGGAGGGGACGGGGGTAGGGAGATGGGGTGGCTGGGTGATGGACGTTGGGGAGGGTATGTGTTATGGTGAGTGCTGGGTGTTATGTAAGACTTTATGTTTATCCTTCATAAACAATGGTTTGAAGACCTCAGATTTTTAAATTTAGCCTCTATTTAGTTTGGGGTAATCTTTTAACTAATCCTTTCAAATATTGTTCTTTGGTGCCTGTTTATGATTTCCTTTTCTTAAATTGCATAACCATCTTGTGAGATTTTGTTTCTACTCCCTGGAATGTTAGTTTTAATTCTGTTGCAGTCTCTGTAAGAATTTCCTCCATAATAGTTCTACATTTCCATTCTTTATTGTCAAGTCTCATGTATTTACTTCCCTAAAAGATGTCCACCAAAAGGCTTATTTGAGGAAGCTATTTGTCTTGTTCTAGGGCCTTCCTTTCTCTCTGAGTCCCGTGGAAGAAATTATCAAATTTTGGGGGGCCAACTGAAGAGTTATTAATCTAGCTTTTCTTATTTAATTGCAGACTTCTCATGGTACTCTTCCCTCATCTGGTAAAATGTTTATGCTTTGACAGTCATATTGTCCTTAGGATATATCTCTGTTCTGCCTGTAGAATCTGAACCCTGGGAGGACTGTATGCTGCTATGATCTTTAAATCTTCATGTTTGTGAGATTTTTATTTTTGTTTATTTGCAGATGTTCGCACGCAAGCCATGTACCAGATGATGGATCAAGGCTTTGTAGGACTTATTTTTTCCTGTTTCATAGAAGATAAAAACACAAAGGTATTTGTGTGTGTGTGTGTGTGTGTGCACGTGTGTGTGTAAACACACACACACAAAATAGAGAAAAATCTTTTTGCAATTTTAATAGGGTGGCCAGGGAAGGTTTCAATGAGAAGGGTCATTGAGTCAGGACCTGAAGAAAGTGAGGGAGCAAGTCTTGGATTTCTTGGGGCGTTCCAGGCAGACGAAATAGCCAGTGCAAAGACCCTGAGGTGAGTGTGGCATGTTCAGGGGACATCAAGGAAGTCAGTGTGGCTACAGCAGAATGAGGAAGACCATGACCATATGTCCCAGTTTGCCTCTGTCGGTCCCAGTTTTACCCCATTATTCCAGTCTCCTCTTTAGTTAGCACCTTTCCTTCTTGGAAGTGTCCTGGTCTGGACAATAACTCATTTGATCATTCTACAATGAGGTCTGAAAGATAACCAGGTGCCGGATCTCATGAGGCCTTTGATTTGACTGACTTGGGAAGCCACTAGAGGGTGACTTTATGTTTTAATGGGATCTCTCTGGCTACTGTGTTGATAGTAGACTAGTCAGGGGGTGGGGGTGGGTGCACGGGGAAGGAGGGAGTGTGGAATCCATGACATCTGTGAAACCAGTTAGGAAGGTACTGCAGTAATCTAGGCAAGAGTTGATGGAGGTTTGACTATGAGGAGTGGAGGTAATGATTAGGGGCCAGGTTCTGTATATATTTTGATGGCTAATAATAGTAACAAGTGCTGCCATTTATCATCTATTGTATGGTGCCTACTTATTAGGTATGTTACATAAATATGCTCTAACCCTGACAACAGGTCTATGAGGATGATTATTTTTTAAAGATTTATTTATTTATTTTAGAGATAAAGAGAGAAGGTGGGGGAGGGGCAGAGGGAGAGGGAGAGAGAATCTCAAGCAGACTCTGTGCTGAGCACAGAGCCTGATGTGGGACTCGATCTCACCACCCTAAGATAATGACCTGAGCTGAAATCGAGCATTGGATGCTTAACTGACTGAGCCATCCAGGCGCCCTGAGGGTTATTATTATCTGCATTTTATGGATGAGCCAAGCTCAGAGAAGCTCAGAGAAGTTAAGAGAAGTTAAGCAGCCCAATCAATGGCTAGTTTTGCCATTCTCTATTTAGAGTGTTTCTGTTTGAATTTTATGTTTATGTCAAGAGGTTTGACTATGTGTCAATTCAAACAAAAAGAAAATTACTATTTAACATTGTAGGAATGAATTTTGGCTAAACTATCAAGTATGCTCTGTCCTTTAGTACATTATTTATATTGTCAGCATTTATATTAATGATGAATATTATTCATAAAATCACTCTTTTCCAGAAACCGTAATCTTGAACTTTATACTTCATATGAAATGATTTTGGCTTTGTCATCATAAATTTATTTATTGTCATTATAAATAGTTGAATGTTTGTCAGCTTCCAACAAAGCAGTTCGAATGCTCTGGTTCTTAGTTTCTTGGTTCTCATGTTTATAAGAAATTCTTTGCTGTCACATGAAGAGATGTTTCATTATGGCCATTTCATATTGACCGAGTTGAGTACTTGATCCTTTATAGAAATTGATTTATGGCATATTCCATCTTTGGAATCCCTTTTAACCTTCCACTTCTAGAGGGTCTTTGGATACCACTCATGTAAGGATGTGAGTATTAGGTTTGAATCTTCTAAAGTGCTATACCTGTATCAATATTAATCCTTCTCTGTGTGATATTTCTTTCTTTCTTTCTTTCTTTCTTTCTTTCTTTCTTTCTTTCTTTCTTTCTTTTCTTCCTCTTTCTCTCTTTCTTTTTCCTTTTTTTTTTCCTTTTAGACTGGCCGAGTACTCTACACTTGCTTTCAATCTATACAGGCCCAAAAGAGCTCAGAGTAAGTATGACAGACATATGTATGTATGTATGTATGTATGTATTGGTGGGCTAATTTTCATTCCAGGGAATTGATTGTACATACCCAATTAAATAGATTATGCATCTAAATAATGGAATAATATGCAGCCATTAAAAATATGAGGTTCAGTAGTAATACAGAAATATCTGTAAGAAACATCATTAAATAAAAAAGGCAAGGTACAAGAATAGTATGTGTATATATATACATCAACACGCCAGCATACTTGCTGGTAAATGCATAAAATATCCAGAAGGAAACACGTCAGTCACTTCAGCAGAGCCAAAGTGATGTTTACTTTGATATCTTCAAATAATAAACTTTTCATACTCTTTCTTGGTTTACTAATTTTAGATGTTATCTATTCTTATTATGTTATTTTGCCCTCAACAAATGAGGATTAAGCTCAAGTACCCTGCCCCATTTCTATTATATTACTACTTTTTGTTCTTCTGTTGGTGACTTTTCTGTTCTTAAGGTTTGCCCCTTTATTTGTTCTGTCAACAATGGACAATAGACAGTATCTTTTGGCTCCTTGCTGTTACTTGTATTTTTACTATAAACCTTTAAATTTTCACAGTTGCAAACGTGTGTTATGTGTTGTAACCATGATTGCATTTTCTGTGCTTTCTCTACTAGTTGACTCTAAGAGTAGAAAATAAAGTGTTTATGTTATTATTATTATGTAAATATTATTCCATGTACAACCAAGCAGTGTAAAGTAGTATATTAGGATTCCATTTCCTTTTTTGAATAGCTTTTTGCTTTTTCATGGGGTTTTTGAATGGCTTTTCTCTCCTTATTTTTCAGCCTTTATCACCTCCCTGAGTTCCAAATTCTTAGGAGTAATATAGAAATCTTTGGAGTCCCTGCTTTTGCTAGGCTCACTCCCTGAAGCCCTCCGTCTTCCCACCTTAGTCAGGTCTTGGCTGACATCCTGGAACTTTCCCTCATTATTGTCCTTGGTTAGACCCACCGATTTCAGTGGATTTCATTTCAATCCACTGTCTGGATTTCATGTCGTCTTTCTTGGTTCACTGTTTGTAAGAAAGGTATGCATTTGAGTTTTTAACCAGTCTAATTCTTATTCTTTTATAGGGCTTTTTTTTTTTCTCTGACAGCTTTTGGGAACTTCTCTATTCTTGATGTTGTGAAATTTTATATGATATAACCAGAGTGTGGATATTGTATGACTCAAAGTGCTGGATGCTGTCAGTCAGCACTTGTCCTTCAACTCTGGGAAGTTCTCTGCTATCATTTTCTTTTGTATCCTCAGATTAAACAATCCATATATACCCAGTTCCCGGGAAGAGAAAATCTTATTTATAATTCAATCCAATCCCATCATTTAAAGCTTCTTCAAGTGTAACTCAGTCTTTGGGGGATAATTTCTCATTCTTTGAGTTACTTCCCTTTCCATTTTGACTTGAAGATGGCATTTGAAGCATTGGAAAGATGAAGTAAATGAACTTATGCTATAGGGAAAGGAGACTTCCTGGTTTCATGCTGGTTTTGGGAATCAGGGCATGAATCCTTCTATTCATGGTTAATGCCCACCTTCATTTACCCAGTGTATTTCTCCTCTCTCATGGAGTTGAAGCCCCAGCATAAAGAGATACCTTAACAGCTTCCTCTCCTATGACTACCTCATTCTCCCCATACGTTAGTAGGACAGGTGTGTCATATCCTTTTCTCTATTCTTTGATAAATCTTCCCCGTTTTCCCTTTCTCTTTCTAGAATTCATATTAGATATTAAAGGTTGTAGATTGACAGTAGTGACTCTTTTAACTCATATTTTCTCTCTTTTTTTGTTGTTCTGATTTCTCAAGCATATTTTAGATTTTATCTTCTAGCCCTTTCATTTAGCAATTTTTTGTATCTTATAAGAGATTTTTCCTTGTTTTAGTCATTATTCCTATTTCACAGTATCCTATTCTTGATTTGTTGATATGATAGTTAAATAGGAAATGTTAAATTTTCTTCTGTTTTTTCAGTTACCTGTTTGTGGTAATTTTTCTGTTTATTTTTTATTATATTTATATTCATGTTATATTTATAATATAACTTGTTTTTTTAAATATTTCTTTTTCATCCTCTTTTTAAGAACAAGCCAACAAAAACATGAGTGATAGCTCATTATTTGTGGCCTTAGCTTGTCAACAGGAGGCTTTATTTTAGGGTGAGTGAGTTGAGAGCCAGCCACTTTTCTCAGGGATCACTAAATGTTAGATTTCAGGTATCGTGCTCTGGGGTACCAATCTTAACAATTGCTGCAATCCAAGACAGTTTATTCTGTTAGTTAGGAGAACTTTTACTGTTGCTGTTGTTGCTAATAATGATGATGATGATAATGTTGGCTTAAGAATGGAAGGCTAGTTACTAAACATTCTGTGTGTACAGAGGCCCAGTTGTGGAAGAGCACAAAAGAAGATTAACTAGAGTCCAAAATTTCTGGCAGGAAGACCAAAAAGGGTAGCCTCCAGGAAATTACACAAAGGGAGGAGTGTGTTAAAGCCACCTTCATAAAGTTGTTTATAAATTTCTTTTTTTTTTTTAAAGATTTTATTTATTTATTTGACAGAGAAAGACACAGCGAGAGAGGGAACACAAGCAGGGGGAGTGGGAGAGGGAGAAACAGGCTTCCCACAGAGCAGGAAGCTTGATCCGTGGCTCAATCCCAGGACACTGGGATCATGACCTGAGCCGAAGGCAGACACTTAATGACTGAGCCACTCGGGTGCCCTATTTATAAATTTCTGGGCCCACTCGTGAGCCATGTATATATGGACCTGATCCTAATTAGCATAAATGATAACTGAATTAACTAGTAGACCACCACATAGGTTCCATACTAAACACTGGGTGGCATATATGCAGGAAAGATCTGAAGAGCACTAGAAATGCTCTGAAAATTGTACTGACATTGGAACCACAGCCCACTGTGGGAATTTCAACCTGAACTTAACTAAGCAGATGACCTGCTAAAACAAAAACAACAACACTCTCTGTAGAATATAAACAAGACCCAGTATATCATAAAAAAAATATTCAAAATACACAGGATATAATTCAGAATTACTTAGCATGGGAAGAACCACAAAAGTTTCAACTTGCATGGAAAACAATAATCAACAGATGCCAACACTGAGGTGACAATGATGTAGGAATGACCTGATAAAGACTTTAAGGTAACTATTATAAAAATGTTTTTAAAAATCACAAATACATCTGTAGCAAATGTTTAAATAGAAAGTCTCAGCAAACAAATGCAACACCCTTTTAAAGAACCCAGTGCAAACTTTAGAACTAAAAATTACAATCACTGAAATATAAGACTCACTGGATGGATTTGCCAGGAAGTTCTCCACAAAAGCAGTGAATAATCTGGCAAAAACTGTCAGAATCAACGTTATTAGAACTGTAGAAACTAATCAAAACTTTATAGCAACCAGGCAAATGCTTAGTCAAAAAAAAAATCACAATCTCACATTTAAGGAAATCTCTGTTGAGTCACTACATGGCCACTAAGCTAACAGGACAGCAATCTCAGTGGCCACACATAACAAAGAATATAGATTATGAAAAACTAGTTCAAGAAAGTCACTAAACACACAAAATCAGATAAAACAATCAGCAACAACAAACCCTAGGGTTGGGTAGAATCTGATTTCCACTGTTACTGTGTTATAATATTCAAAACATTCAGTTTTAACAACAAAAAAAGGCATTCAAAGAAACAAATTTTGGGCCATAAATAGGAAAAAAGAATTAATAAAAACATTCCTGGAGAACGCCCAGACATTGGACTTACTAGACAAAGACTTTTAATCAACTGAAATATTCTCAAAAAGTTAAAAGGAAACCATGTACAAAGAACTAAAGGAAACCATGAAAATGACAGAGGATATCAAATAGAGAATATTGGTAAAGAGATAAATTATAAAAAGGAACCAAATAGGAATTCTGGGATGAGAAGTACAATAACAAGTGAAAAATTCACCATGGAGGTTCAACAGCAGATTTGAGAAGACAAAAGAAAGAATCAACTGATATTAGTGTCTGAGGAGCAGAAAGTAAAAAGAATGAAGAAAATTGAACAGAGCTTAAGAGACCCATGGGGCACTTTGAAACATTATCAATATACTCAAAATAGGAGTCTCAGTATAAGAGGAGAGAGAGAAAGGAGCAGAAAGTATATATAAAGGAATAATGGTCAAAAAGTTCCCAAATTTGATGAAAGGCATGAAGCTACACATCCCAAGGATCTGAAAGAACTCCAAGCAGGATAAACTCAAGGAGATTGACATTGATACATATTATAATCAAAGTGTTGGAAGCAAAAGGCAAAGAGAGAATCTTGACAGCAGCAAGAGAGAAGTGACTCATTACACACAAGGGATTCTCAATAAGATTGAGAGGCAATTTATCATTAGAAACCAGGGAGGCTAGAAGTCAGTGGGATGAAATATTCTAAGTGCTGATAGAAAAAAAAAGAACAACAGAACTACTAAGGAAGAATTCTGTATCTGGCAAAATGAGCCTCTAAAAATGAAGGCAAAATTGACATTCCCAGGTAAACCAAAACTGAGAGTATTGTTACTAGTAGATCCACCAAACAGTAGCCAAGAATACATTTTTCTCAAGCGCACATGGGATGTTCTCCAGGATAAACCACATGTTAGTCCACAAAGCAAGTCTCAGTAAATTTAAAAAGTTTGAAATCATACAAAGCATCTTCTACAAATAAAGAATGAGATCTGAAATCAGTTACAGAAGGAAATTTGGAAATTTTCCCAGATATGTAGAAATTAAATAACACAGTCTTAACCAATGGGACAAAGAAAAAATTACAAAAGAAATTAGAAAATACTTTGAGACTGAAAATAAAGTCACAATATACCAAAATTTATGGGATACAGAAAAAGCAGTACTCAGAAATTTATAGCTGTATATTAAAGAAGAAATCAGCCAGGGGCAC